ATTTCCTTTGCCATAGCTATCAGTTGCTTCACTTTGCCTTTTTTTTTTAAAAAGCAAACCTATTTTTTTCTGAGTATGAGATTATTATAGAAAATTTAGAAATTACTAAGAAGTATTAAATAAGAAAAAAAATACCATATCATAGCCAATCTATTATCTTGCTTTTCTTTTCCTAATATTTTATTTTCCAAAATGTTCTGAGTATAGTCATTTTAATTGCTGTATGTAATTCCATCTTTTTGGTGTATAGTAACTTACTTATCTGATGTCTTATTGTTGGAAGTTTAAATTGATGACAGTTTTGATTAATCTAAAGAACACTGTGATAAGTAGCTTTGCTTAATATTCGAAAATCATATACTGGACATATGGTTTCCAATTTTATTTATTTATTTTGAGTCAGGGTTTCACTCTTCACCCAGGCTGGAGTGTAGTGGCATGATCACGGCTCACTGTAGCCCCGACCTCCTGGACCCAGGCGATCCTTCCACCTCAGCGTCCTGAGTAGCTGGGACTACAGGCACGCGCCACCACACCTGGCTAAGTTTTTTATTTTTTTGTCAAGACGATGTCTCACTATGTTGCCTAATCTGGTCTCGAACTCCTGGGCTCAAGCAGTACTGCTGCCTTGGCCTCCTAAAGTGTTGGGATTACAGGTGTGAGCCACTGCACCTGGCGCCGATTTTCATATTTAAGGTTTAGTAGGACAATCTTTGCAAATCATATACTTTTGACTTTTAGGTATTTGATTATGTCACTACTACTTTGTATTCATCTAGATTTTTTTTTCTATTTCTAAATATTTATTAATAGGAACATTTTGCCTGAATCCTTTGACACAATGTATTTGAACTGGAAAAAGCCCCAATGTTTTCATATTATTTCAAGCAGATATGATAAAGTATATGGTTAATTGGTTATTGTTTGTTTCTTTTTCACTCTCTGTGGGAGATGGCTTCTGTCTAGTATGATTTTATTGGTTTAGAAAGTGCTCGATAAATGTTTAATAAAAAGATTCAGGCTAATTTAGGATAAACAGACACATATGAGAGGGTGTTGAGAAAGGTCTCCATTCATGATAATAGCTTTTACTTTCATTAGGAAAGATGACAGCTAAGCACAGTTCAAGAATTCTGACCATTAAATGAGAACTGTGAAATGAAGTATGATGTTGCTTTAATTCACCTACATGGGAAACCATGACTCAAATAGTTATTTGATTAAATGTTAATGAGATCTACTAAATGAACTCTTACTTTTATGTATTAGATTTATGTCAATTAAAACAGAACCAGTTTTACCTCTTTCTTTCTTTAACATGTTTGAGTCAACATCTGCTTACAAGGGAAGTGCCATAACTACCCTGGTTATTTAAATATTAATGGCTTCCATTAAAGGGGGCTAGAGATTGGCAGCAAGAAGATTCAGAGATTAGATGGCATGATTGGTTTCTTGTTTCTGTCCCCAGGAAAAAAACCTCTTACTGAAAGAGCTTCTTCCATTATTTTTTTAATATCTTTCCTCCCCCCCCCCGAACCAGTTAGAGAGCAAGATTGTTGATTTCTGACATTCCTCAAAAGTAGCTGTGCTATTAAAACATCAGCGTAACAAGTGCACATAATTAAAAAAACATGTTTTAACAGTGCCTTAGTGGCCGTTACCCTTGGGCTTCTTGGGAACCTAATTTCAGTTTCTAAATTCATTGTGCTCTTTATTATAGTCAATAATGGGCAAAAGCATTTTTTAGCTCCATGCTATATTTGGTTGGACTTTTTTACGTTAAGTGTGGGGAATTCTATTAAGTTAACCCTGAGACATGACAAGGGTTATATATTTAATCAAATTATAATTATAAACTTTTATCTTATCAGGGAAATGTGGCTGAAAAGCTTTTAAATTTTGCTACAACCAATATTTTCATTCTATGCCAAATTGCATTGTAATAAGCCTGTGGTTAAAAGATTTTTACACATTTTGTATTTTTAAGATGTTCTAATGGCTTGGTATTTTAAAGCACTGAACAATCAAAAGCAAGGCACTATATTTGCATAATTGTATATATCTTTCTGCATTCAGAAATCAGACTGAGTGGAGTGTTTATTCATTTCATGTATTTCATTTAGAATTTGAGCTGAGAACTTGGATCGCGCTTAAAAAGCAACAGTGTACAGCAAAGTAAGGGCCCTGGTGTAGTCATCATAACACCGTGCTTGGCAGGGTCAGAACTATGATGAGGTGAGAGAGGCACCTGCCCCCTTTGTAAAACTTAAGAAAGTGCAAGCAAATAAACAAAAACCACAGTAATGAACATAAATAGTATTTTAATGCAGTATTTGAAAAAATCCATATAATACAAAGAAAAATCTATGATTTAAAAAGGTCATCATTTTAGATAAAGACGAGATTTGATCTTGCACCCGCACCCCACTCGCCTCTCCCTAGTCCTGGCCCTGAATGGGAAAGTCCTGGTTTCTCTACTTTCGTGTCCCAGCATGAGACACTCTTTTGAGCCAAATTTTCCTTATCTAAAATTGATGACAATAATCCTCACCTTTCTGGTGACAAAGATTCTTTGCTTGGCCAAATTCTAATTAGGCTTCTGAGTGACCTCCCAAAGTGCTTGGATTACAGGCATGAGCCACTGTGCTGGGCCCTTATCACCCTCAATACCATTCCCTGGGTGATGTCTGATCATTCTGGCCTGTCTCCGGCAATAATTCTATTAGGGTAGTTTAGCAAGATCCATCTTACCCCTCTTAGTTTTCTCTTAGTAATTTTCCATTCGCTGCTCTCACCCTGCTCCTGGACTATAAATTCCCACTGGTCCATGCTGTGTTTGGAGTTGAGCCTGATCTCTCTCTCTCACTGCAAGACCATATTGCGCTGGTCTTTCTACCTTTTGTTTTCCTGAATAATGTCATCCTGGCTGCTTTACCAAGTATCATATTAAATTTTCTTTAACACTAGGGGAAATCATCAGGAGATTCGGATCAGCTAATAATACATGGGAAAGTTCACTATAAATATAAGGTACATATTTATGTACACGTTTAGTTAAATCATCATGTGATTTCATGCCATTATTATTACCAGCTGGAAAGAATTTTCTTTTTCTTTTTTTTTTTTTTGAGTTGGAGTCTCACTCTGCTGCCCAGACTGGAGTGCAGTGGCCACTCCCGGCCACCACACCCTCGACCTGCTGGGCTCCGGTGATCCTTCTGCCTCAGCCTTCCAAGTAGCTGGAACTACAGGCGCGTGCTACCACGCCCTGCTAATTTTTTTGATTTATTGTAGAGATGAGGTCTCACCAAGTTGCCCAGGCGGGTCTCGAACCCAGGGGCTCAGGCAATCCACTCACCTCAGCCTCCCAAAGGCGCGGGATTACAGGCTGAGCCACCGAGCCCGGCTGGAATTAATTTTCTAAGCAAGCATCAGATCTGAAGATCCTTGGAAAGCTTTGTGCCAATAGTTTGGGGCCTAATTTCTTTTTTAAAAGATTTTTTAAATTATAAAGATGTGGGGTACAATTCAGGGTTAGGAATACAAACGTTGATTATGCAGGTACCCTTGTGGATGAGGTATGCCCCTCCCTCTCCTAAGAGTTTCCCCCAACTGCCAGTCCCACCCCCCTTCCCCTGACAGTTTCCCACTACTGCCAATCACTTTCTTATAGTATTATAATTGTTCACAATTCTTGAATTTATTTATCAGCGAGCAATAGGAGGCGGTACCTGAAGATAATTGTAGAACCTTCCCTCTCTTTCTTCTTTCTTTCTTGTTCTTTGATACAGACTTTGGTGATTTGTGAGAGATAGAGGAGATAATGAGAAAGCCATTCCTTTTTTGTGTTTTAGAGACAAGGTCTCTCTCTGTTGCCCAAGCTCAAGTGCCATGGTGTGCACTGCAGCCTTGAATTCCTGGGCTCAAGCTGTCTTCCCATCACAACCTCTCAAGTAGCTGGAACTACAGGCATGCACACTTGACCTTCACTGCTCCTTTTATATTTTCTCTGCAAAGTGGGCATGGATATCTGAGGTCTGACCTTTGTCCAAGCTGTTCCATCCACCAGAGATATCTTCGCTATTTCTCCTGCCCATCTCAGATCCATTCACCTTTCATTCACATCCCACCTTGGTAAGGCCTTCCCAGGAGCTCTCGGCCTAAAATGTGCTCTCAATCCCCGCAAGGTGGCATAGTGGTCTCCATTTGCTGATCAGTAACAGAGTTCTTGTTGTCCAGAGGCGTTATCTAATCCTCCGTGGAATTTACTTTCCAGAGGCATTTAAAATATATATATATATCAGTAATTTTTAAATTACTGACGTTGTAAATCCCTTGAAGAGTTTCCAACTGGGCTGTCAGTTTAAGGGTATGCAGGAATTGGGTCTTATTTATGGTGATATCTGAGGTGCTTAGCAAAGGGCCTTTATGCACAACACATTAAAACATTTTTTTAGTCAGGGATTTACTCTACTGTCCAGACTCGAGTGCAGTAGCACAATCATGGCTCACTGTATCCTTGACATCCTGGGCTCAGACAATCATTCTGCCTCAGCCTCCTGAGTAGCTGGAAGTATAGACGTGAATTACTTGAGCCCAGGAGTTCGAGACTAGCCTAGGCAACATAGCAAGCTCTTGTCTCTACAAAAAACTTAAAAACTGAGCTGAAGCCGGGCTCGGTGGCTCAGCCTGTAATCCCGCGCCTTTGGGAGGCTGAGGTGAGTGGATTGCTCGGCTAATTGTTTGATTTTTTTTTTTTTTTTTGTAGAGATGAGGTCTCACCATGTGGCCCAGGCTGGTCTTGAACTCCTGAGCTCAAGTAATCCTCTTGCCTTAGCTTCCCAAAGTGCTGGGATTACAGGTGTAGGCCATTGCATCCAGCTAACAATACTTTTTTTTTAAAGTGAATAAATGAATTTCTTGCATTTAAAGGGGGTAGGTAAATGTTTACTCTTTTGACTCATTGGTGGGATGTTGTTTTCATCCTAGATCTGGAAGGAATGGATGGTGCCATGTGGAAGGTGATTGTTTTGCTGGTCCTGTTACTGCCCAGCCCCTGTGATGGGCTGTTTCGCTCCTTATACAGAAGTGCCCAGGCCTCCATGCCACTAAAGGGAGATACGGGACAGCCAATATTTCTTACCCCTTATATTAAAGCTGGGCAGATCACAAAAGGTAAGTTTAATTAAATCAGAAAACCGCTGGTATACTTTCAACAGGTTTTTTTTAAAGCAATTATCATGCAGGATGTAAAATACAATGAAGTATTTTTACTCCATTGCTTTATTTCACATATTAATGATTTGATGTCAGATAATATCTGAATTTTGAGCTAAGATGAGAGTTAGCCAGGGCTGGATTATCTACGTGGTTGAGTTGCAGTATATTTGTTTATAAATCTAGTGGAGTTCCTGTCCCCTGTGAGCACTTAATAGTGCTAATACTAACCTTAAAACTTACTACCGGCCAGGCTCAGGGAGGTGTACCATTGTACACACGTGAAAAGCAGAAAGAGATTTAGTTGCTTGCCAGAGTTCACACAGATACCAGACAACCTCACTCCAGCCACTCTGCTGTGCCCCCTCACCCGGCAAGTCTAGGCTCAGCCAACCTGCAGAAATGTTATGACAATCTGATGAGAAAATACACATGAAAAGTCTTTGTAGCCTGTAAATTACTCATGGCTTTATGTAGAGATTGTGGATTTTATTATTATTAATAGAAGAAAGAGTGTCATTTAGTATTATCAGAGACTAGAATTTAAGACCTGCATCTGCTCTTAATGCTTCTTATTACTTAATCACTATGTAGTTAAATGACTTTATCTTTCTGGACTTCAGTGGGTACCTAAAAATAGACCAGGTGCAATGGCTCGCACCTGTAATCCTAGCTAATTTCAGAGGCCGAGGTAAGAGAATTACTTGAGCCCAGGAGTTCGAGACTAGCCTAGGCAACATAGCAAGCTCTTGTCTCT